CACAGATCTCTGAAACCCCTTCCTGCCCCTGTCAGCACCCCGACGTGTCCGAGAGCCAAAGCCACGGCCTGCACGCTCCACCGGGGTCGGGCCCTGGGGGCGGCAGGGCTGAGCGCCCCGCCCGGGAGCCCGCGCGACTCCGTGCGCCCTGCGCTGTGAGCCTCCAACACTGATGTCGCCTCCGTCCGCCTCTGTGGGTGTCCGAGGATGCCCGGAGCTGGAATGTCCACTCTCATCCTTCATCCTTGTTCCCCAAAGAACGGGCTCTTGTCAGCTCAACCCCTAGGGTCCCACGAGGCTCCCTCAGCCACTTTCAAGGCCGACTCAGCCCGCCTCTGCCAACGCTCTCCTGTCCAGACTGTGTCGGCTTCATCCTGTCCCCGTGACTTCCCCTCTGAGTGGTGACCTGGGACGAGGTGCCCCCGCACCCCTCCCTCATGTAGAATCTCCTGCACTGGGCTGGACATGTACCCCCCCCACACACAAAGGATGCTTATGCAAGCTGAACGCTCCTCCCCAGGAGGAGCTGACCTTTAGAAGGGCTGTCCCTGTCAAAACCAAAGGTGGCCTCCTCCAGGGCAGCGGGGCCCCGCACTGCGTTCCATGACCGAGAGGACAGCTCAAGTGGCCCCCTGGGTTCTAAGGTTGTACCAGCTGACTCCAGCAACTGAAAGAAGGAGCGAAACAGCCCCCCCAAATTGTCTCACCGGGCACCCAACACAGGCCTCATTTCACTTAGCATAATACCCTCCGGGTGCATCCACGTTGTCCCATAAATATATTCTTACATGATGTTCCCAAAAATGCAAGGAGGACTTTATGCATTTAATAGGACGTGGCCCAAGTTCATGACTTTTGTTTGTGTAGAATGTAGAAAGAACACAACTTGACATATATTTTCCAGAGGGTCCCCAGGGTCGGCAATGACTGACTGTAATTGGAAAGGGATTGGCGTCCAGGCCAGGCCCTTACGCAGTGCCCCCGAGCTGTCAGACCGCCGCGGGCACCCACTCGGGCGGGGCCCTGGCCTCCAGGTTAAGTGGAGCACGTGCTTGGACCGTCCCCCACTGACCGGATCCGGAGGACAGGTAGTGGGGACAACTCTGCGCTGCACTGGGCTGCAGAGCGTGTCTTTAGGACTCGAAGTGTCCCGGGACTCTGTGGGAAGCTGGAAAACACACTATTCGTCAGCCGAGGTCCAGCACCTTCTCCTTCTAAGGTAATAAAGGGAGAAGGTGGAGCAACCAAAAAAAAACCTTTTTTTTTTTCTTCTTTTATTTTTTATGACAAGAGACTAGGAAGGTTCAGAGTCACAAAAATCCCATTTGGAGAAAAAATATTTAGGAGAAAAATGAGCGAAAGGTATGTCGTGGCACATAAAAGCATAGAATCACGAGGAAAACCGTCCTGTGCTCCGTCGACGCCTCCGGGTGGCCCGGATGGAGGAGAAGCGGTGTCCGAGCCCAGAGGGACGGCCCGGGGGGCCTTGGTCCCTGTCTCTGGACGGGTCCGCTGCCTTTGCCAGGAACACCTTCCCGCAAGTCGTAGTAGCCAGGGGACAATGAAATGACTCTTCTTGAGGGACCGAGCGACATGCTTCTTTCCCGCTGCGTTGTTTAAAATTGTTAAAATGTTTAAAATTGTTTTGCTCTGTTCCCTCTCAAGTCTTGCTGTTCTTTCAAGTTTATTTAGGTAACCTGAGGAACTTTTTATTTCTGTTTCATAATTCTGAAAGGAAAACGAGTTTGGGCTTCATTCCCGTTTGACTAAGCCTTAGCGGTCGCTTCACTGGTAATTTCAAATAATCTTTGAGCTGCATGAGCAAAGGCCTGTGTCCCGTCTGAGCACAGCCCAGGCCCATTTTACTGCAGCTCACGTTCTTCCGCCCTTGTCCTCGGCTTGGCTAATTATGCAGATGCAGTATTTCTGTTTATTATGTAACATATATATGGGCATATGGCTTTTTAATGGAGCTCTCTATTATTATTATTAATATTCCAAATGGAAATTCAGTTTAAAAGTTGAAAATGTAATTTCGAAAATGAATTAGACCTCATAGCATTAAAGGACACGCAACCATTAGAGCGAGCCAGCCTGTCACGTACCGAACGTCTGGGCGTCTTTATTTGGAAAGATTTTAAAAGGTTTGTTGGGAAAAATGTGCTCTGTGATTACATAAATTTAGGTACTCTAGATTTCATAAAATTAAACTAGTTTTTTAGAAAACGGGCTTCGTCACCGTAGGACCTCTCTGAGCCTTGCTTCTTTCTGTGCGCCGGGACACTGTCAGCGGAAGCTGGGGTGCCTGGCGCCTGCTGATCACGCTCCGCCATGCAGCTCCCAGAAACACACTGCAGACACCTGCTTTGCGAGGCTGACGTGTCCTCTGAAATTATTCCATGTGCACAAAGTCAGGGCACCTTTGTGTACCGCTCCTTTATTGGGCAATGTGGCTGTTTTTAATAAATATTGAATAAAAGATTGGAAAGTAATAGAAACATATATATTTTTAAAATTAACAGGGAGGTTTCTGTCCCTGAGCCCCTTGGCTTCCTTCTAAATTTTTTTTATTAATTTATTTCAACACCATGCACTTATTTCGTTACATGAATATTGCTATGAAAGTTTACTACAAATATTACTATGTAATAATTAAACAATGAAAAAATGCAACAACTTTAATACTCTGTACTTATTTTAATTGTGTTAATGCTACATATGTAACTGACAGAAATGATCATTTGGAAGTGGGCACGTAATCACGTGTGCCCGCCGTTCGAGTCAAGGACGAGCTCCTTCGAGGGTGTGGGACTCAGCACCACGGACAGCACTATAAATGTGCACTAGGATTTCTTATGATTCGTTTTCTGAAGCCCGGAGGAATCTTGGCAAAGGTCGAGTGTAGGCAGACATTACATGCGAGTGGTAAACTCAGGGCCACGTGTCCGATGCCAGCTCACCACGTTGCCCGGGTGGTGGCCGCCTGCTTGTGACTCTGGCCGTGATGCTGGCGACATACTGTCCTGCATGAGGAAATGTGTGGCTACAGCCGTGACCATCGGCTCTGCGTACTCGAGTCCACCTTCATCCCACCACTAGGCCCGTCTGCTTTGGGGCGACGAGCTCGCTCGCTGCCCTGTCTTCTGACTTTCGCTGCGGGTGGCAGTGGGACCCTCCACGCTCTCCTGCGGTGGGTCGGCCGTGACCTCCTCACCATCGGCTCTGTGTGCTCGAGTCCACCTTCATCCCACCACTAGGCCCGTCCGCTTCGGGGCGACGAGCTCGCTCGCTGCCCTGTCTTCTGACTTCGCTGCGGGTGGCAATGGGACCCTCCACGCTCTCCTGCAGTGACTCAGGTGTGGAGCTTCCCATCCTCATCCCCCTCCCCTGCCCAGAACCAGCTCTGAACCCCAAGCGCCTCTTTCCTTCGTGATGTGCACTGAGAACTCCGTTTCCAAGTAAAATCTCCCCCTCGCAATGCTGGCACTCCTAACAGCCACCGCGATGGTGACAGGTGTGCCATGCCCGACACCCCACTGTTCAGACGTAAGTGTCATGGAGGGCGTCAGTGCCCAGCGTGGCAGAATGAAACGATCCTCTGAAAGCACACTCAAAGTGCTGGGCGAAATTCGTTGTAGCCTTTTAAAATGCATCACCGAGCCTGCAAGAAAATGAGGAATCCTCAAAGTCCCCAAAATGACGTGATATGTAGAAAGGTGACGAAGCTCTGAAGCTGGCTTTGTCCTGCTGGCATCCGTCGGTCGCTCCCCGGTGGCCGAGCTTCCCTTTCGAGAGTCCCCTTGGCCTAGGGAATGAAAAGCGAAGTCTAAGACCTTTCTGATAGTGGCAGTATGATCGGATGCCCTCGCTACAGCTAGAATTCCACAGGGGCCCTGCTCGCAGTATAAGGGAGAATAGGCGGAGGGGCAAGATGGAGAGAGAGAAAGCAGCACACAGAGAGAGGAACAGAAATAGACAGGTAGAGAGAGAGGGAGAGAGAGTAAGTAGGTAGGCAGGGAGGGAGGGAGACAGATGACAGATGACAGGTAGATAAATGGGAATAGGGGCCTAAACATAGATATGTAGAACTCGTAACCGCACGCCATCTGCTTGGTCCAGAGCGCCTCCAGCTGAGGGTTTGCCATAAGCCGGTAGACGCGCCTCATGCCCCGGGCCCAGGCGCAGGGAGTGTGAGCCCTCGGCATGAACGCACCTTCAGAGCAGATCTCAGAGAATCTCTACAGGTCAAGTCCCAAGAACAGAAGTGCAAGTTCAAATCTCGGAAACTTCAGTTCCCATAAGATGTTGGATTTATTATCAGATCAGACTGTAAGAGTTTAAACGACAAAAGAGAGTATAAATATGAGTATGTCACAATACGCTGTGTAAATGGCGGACTACGTGTGAACAAAACAGTAATAGAGAAGTACAATGAAAGAAAGTTTAAAACAATGACATGTTAAAATAATAAATTTCAGTCGTGGTGTGCATTTTGATTGAGGTATTGTTAATGAAAAAAGTCAGATGGGAACGTGTGTGTGGCCGTGTGTTTGTCTGTGTGTGTGTCTGTGTGTGTGTGTGTGAGTGCGTGTGTGAGTGCGTGCTAACTTCAGCACGATGCAACTCCTCGACGTTTCGTAACCGGTTGCGTTTGCGACAATTTTCTGCGAGCATCTGTCCCAAGCAAGCGCAGTGCGGGGCCGGTGCCCAGCGCGCCCCCGTGTGGCCGGACGGTGCGCGGTGCCGGCGAGAGCGCGCTGCGCGCCCCGCACGTGACCTGCTGTCGTCTTCTCTTTGCAGCGTCCGACTTCAGCACGATGCAACTCCTCCACGTTTCGTAACCGGTTGCGTTTGCGACAATTTTCTGCGAGCATCTGTCCCAAGCAAGCGCAGTGCGGGGCCGGTGCCCAGCGCGCCCCCGTGTGGCCGGACGGTGCGCGGTGCCGGCGAGAGCGCGCTGCGCGCCCCGCACGTGACCTGCTGTCGTCTTCTCTTTGCAGCGTCCGTCGCGTCCACCTGCAACGACCCGGGAATGCCTCAGAACGGCTCCCGCTATGGCGACAGCAGGGAGCCCGGAGACGCTGTCACCTTCCAGTGCGACCCTGGCTATCAGCTCCAAGGACAGGCCAAAATCACGTGTGTGCAGCTGGACAGCCGCTTCTTCTGGCAGCCGGACCCCCCGACGTGCATAGGTACCGCGCCGCGGGGAGCCGGCGAGGGCCCGCTCGCCTGGCATCGCTCCGCAGGTGTCTCTTAAGCGTCTCTTGCGCGCGCTCTGGTTCTCTGAAACCACTGAAATTTCATCGGGAACCTTTCCACTCTCTTTTATTAGCTGAAATAAAGGAGGCAGTTTCCTTAATATACAGTAATTGACATTTACCTAACACTTCCTATCCTTAACAAATCTTGTAAAAATATGGGTCGAATTACTGTAATTTACAATTCCGGGTGGCGGAAAATGCATAACCCTGACCTCGCTATTCTAATTTTTAATACAGAAATATGCCCTTAAGCGTAACCTACTCAGTAAAAAGTACTTTCTCTTTTTAGATGGTTTTTTTATATCGCTACATTTTAATAGAATTCTGAAAACTAGAAATTATACTGAGTTTATCAAAATGTTAGACAAAAAAGAGAAAGTTGTTTCTGAAATCCGCTATTTTTTTTTAATAGTTTGACCTTATTAAAAGGATGGCAATTGGTTTTACAGACTTTAGTTTAAATAACCATCCAAGATACTCTATCACAAATATGGTTTTAGGGAAAGGCATATTTTTATATAAAACAGTAGTAACACGTCGACACTCCTTTCATTCAATTAAGTATTTTACCATAAATACCATTTATCGTACTTCACCTTAATGTTAAAAAGAAACTCTGCTAAACTTTGTTATCTTAATGAACTGTCATAGTTTAATCCGTACTTTATATAATCTGATTGAAAAAACACAAAATGTAATGAATCTGCGAAGGGAGGAAGTGATACAATGATAAGCACATAGTTCATGGGCCATAGCGGGACCTCGAGGGGGGTCGTCACCTTAAATGGCTTTTATTGTCACACGCAGCAGTGGAGAGGTCCTGGGGGCCCTGTCGAGCTGGGACGTGCAGCCCTCGGCTTACGAGACGTGCTGACCGTGTTCTGGCGGGGGCGGGGCTGTGGTAGCCCGCAGGCTGTTGCATCCGCCTGTCACAGGGCTGCACGGTCCCCGCCGTCCGCCGCGTTCACAGCGTGGCTTTGGTGTGCCTGGTCTTGCTTTCTATCTCAAGCTGAGTCGCCAGGAGACTGGGCAGTTTTCCACCTGCTTCTTCTGTAAAGTGGTAGAATTACCTATAAATGCAGCAATCACAGTAAACCGTTGGCCTATTTTTAAATTAGAAAAGACATTTGTGGTCCCCATTTTGCATGATTTTAAACATATGGCGATGTACATTCAAAAGCAATGCAACAAGCAGTTAATCCCCTAAAAGTAATTTTGCAGTGGACGTGCATTTAAACTCTTATAAAATGTGACCATATTCTCAAGGACTCGATCGTCTTTCATTGGTTCATCTCTTAGTTACCTAGTTTTGACTGGTGATGAGGTAACCTGTCCCCAGCAAAGACAAAAGGTCAGACCTCAGGCGTCCTGCATATCAGCTCCAAGGACAAGCTAAAGTCACCTGCAGGCAATGCGCATCAACTATGTTGGCGGCTAAACCGCCGCATGCAGAAGCGTTACATGACAGCGAGATGGCTGTGTGAGAATAAGTGGACATGATCCTTTTCCACATTGTAAACATTTTCCCCCAGAAACGAGGCTCTGTCCTGTCAGGACCATGTCCCTTAGGGTGTCCGCTGACCCTGACTTAATGCTCACTCACGGAAATTCTATTCTGCTGATTCGAGACACCTTTTTAGTTCATGTTTTAAAGTTTTCCTTATTTAAAAACTAATACGTTTATTGCAGAAGTTTTATAAACTATCGTTAAAAAAAGAGGAGGTAAAAACTGACGTCTCTTCAGCTGAAGGCAATTACTGTAAACATAAACATGCATCAGTAAACTTTATAATTATTTTATGTATTTATAGTCTGTTTTTTAAGCATTTCTAAATGACACCATCCTACCCGACTATTTTGCAAACTGCACTTTTTCCTTACCAGGGCACGATAGGCATCGTTTTCATGTTGTGTGTTTTCTACCCCCTGGTTTTAGTGCCCACACGGTGCCTCTGTTTGGCTGGGCCACGTGGAGGCCACCAGCCCCTTCTCGTGCAGTTAGGCGGTATCAAGCGTGTCCTTGCTGTGAAGACCGCTGCCATGAACGCTCTTGCAAACACACCCATGGTTATTTATGAGTGACATAGTTCTACACACATGTATTTCTCGGGCTTTAAAAACATGTTTCAGAACTTTCAGAAAGTTACACCCACTGGCGTGGCCATCGGCCGTGTGCGAGTGTCTGTTTCCCTTGACCAAGAAAAAGCAGTGCATCCGACATTTCTTAATCTCGTAATTTGGTAGAGCAGAAAGTGATGATGTCTTGGTGTTTTGATGGGCATTTTAAATTAACAGCGAGGTTCGACTCTGCATGATCTCGTGTTCCTTGTGGCTGTTAGAATTTGTCTTTTCCTGGCTGGCCTGCTAACGCCTTTCTTCTCTCTTATTGTTAGTGTTTTCTCTCTTCTTATTTGCTGTTCTTTCTCTCGCTTTCCCGTTTATAAAATCTCGACCCTCCACCTGTTTCTGCATCGCGCATGTTTTCAGCAGCCTGTCGTTCGCTCGTTCTTCTCCTCGTTCGCTTGGGTACCTCACTCCTCCACTCCCCCAAGGACGCCAGAGGTGGAGGCGGCTCCTTTTGGCATTTTTAGCGGAGTCTTAAGAAACGAACTCTGCAGACCAGAGGACACTCGCTGCCTTCCCACAATGAGCAAAGCGGGCCCGGAAATCTCCATCGTTTTAGCTTTCTCACGTAACCCCCAATGCCCTTCCTCTGGGTCCAAGTCCTCAAAAAGGTTTATCCCAAGTTTGTGGACATTTGTTTGGTGGCAGCACCTGGCCCAGTCTACGAGGAGGCTGTTCCGAGACCCTCTCGCCCCACTTGAGGGAGAGGAGCTTGAAGTGATCCGTGCAGAGGTAGCGACATGCTCCCTCCAGGGGTCCAGCCTCAGCCCTGGGTGCCCGGGTCGTCAGCACCCGTGGGGAGCGGGGCCCCAAGCTGCCAGCAGGGGGTGCCGCGCGATGTGAGTCTGTGGCTGTCATCTCTGCGGCCATTCCCGCAGGAGGATTTCCCAGGGGGGCTGACTCGCATCTTATACCGTGTTCTCATCCTACCCAGCATATGTCGCAAGCTCTTTCATTAAAATCAGGTGAAACCGAGAGGGGGAGCACCAGCCACAAAAGAACACGACACAGCCTGACAGCTGCCGGATCCAGGGACGCTTCCTGACGCCCCCAGGGGGGTGGCCCCGGGTCTGGACAGCAGACGAGCCCTCTCCGCGCTGCTTTACAATCCGTACTTGAGTCTCACCCCGAACTCTCCCCGCCCGCGGTGCCCGCAGCCCGTGTCCTGAATCTGTCATCTTTTCTCCCTGCCTGGAGCGGCCTCTCCTCACCCTGGCACCTTGTTCCCTCCAGCGCCTGTCCCCCCGCTTTGCTCCCTGCTGCCAGCATGGGCTTCCGCTGTCCCGGGAGAGCCCGCTAGACAAACCTGTCCCCACGGCTTCTTAAAATAAAACTGCCTCCCAGGGAAGCGTGTGAAAATGACATCATGTTACTCTCGAGTGTAGAGCTGAAGAATTCATTATAAAGATTTTTCTATGATATTATTCAGAGTTTGCCTTTGATGAGACTGAAATTATAGCCGAAAGTCCTAGAATCTGTTAGAGTTCTCGTGGAAAATTAAGTTTTCAGGTGCGTCGAGTGAGTATTTAAATACATGCTCATCACAGAAAATGGCAAAGCACGTACTTTCATCCTAGTTATAAAAAAGTCATTTTTTGGCGTATGTGGGAAAAAGCCATCCACTAGGATATATCTTTCTCTACTTACGTTTTTTCCTAAATGATCAATGGGGTGAATGAAGATATATAGTTTAGGGGGGGATACTATAATATAATTGGGGCGATTTTTAAAAACAACTCAGCGACAAAGCACAGTATTGGAGATGAATAACGTTAAGCCTAGCATATTTCTGCTTATATGCAAAATGGGAATACTTACGAATTTCACGGTGTGTTCCCACTTTGCGTGTGATGGAAAATTTAACAGGAATCCTGTCTAATAAATGAAACAGTCCCAACCATTTTCAGGTTCAAGAACAATAATCGCCTTGCCTGTTATCCGCTCTGAACTACATAATTATTAACTTACTAACATAAAGGCAAACACGTTTAATTAAAATGTGTTCACTGCAGAAACAAACTAAATGTATTGTCATCGCCTAAAATGCTTCTCTCTCATCATAAAGTATCCTGAGCATCGTGATCACATCGTGTTTTTAGAGATTAATGTTCTAGCTCCGCTGCGTTCCGGATGCGTTTGCCGAGACATCACTAAACGGTGTGTTAGCTTTTGTCATTTTGAAATGCGAGGAAAATATCGCGAGCCCTACATGTCTCAGAGGACTGTGAGAAGTATACGAAATGACGTGTGTTGATTTATTCAGCAAGTACTTCCTGAACGTTTCTCACGATCATAGCTGTGAGCAAAAGATAGAGAGGGTCACTGCACCCCGCGAAGCGCCCTTCCCAGGATGAGTGAGCGATGAGTCGTGAGGCATAGAAACGGCCAAAGCGTTAACACCACCATGAGGTCACATTCGTGGGTTCGTCCTTCTACCCAGGTTCCACTGGGGCGGGTACCCTGTGCGTTACAGGTGCGCGTGGCTGCCTGTCCACTGCAACCGGGTAGAGCTTAAAATGACAGGAAGTAAACCACATTAGCCAGCAGGGGACAATTCTCCCCAAAAACGAGATGGGACCTTATGTAAAGTTCGTTAACATTAGCGAGGGACATGTGCAGGGCCCTAAGTTTCACCTGGGTAGTCGTCTGATGAGCCGACACGTGGTGTCTGTGAGGACCTGCGACACCTCAGCTCACTCTGTGACGTTATTCTCTCTCCCGAATGCCCCCCTCTGTGACAGCTGCGTGCGGCGGGAACCTGACTGGCCCAGCTGGTGTGATTTTGTCACCCAACTACCCACAGCCATATCCTCCCGGAAAAGAATGCGACTGGAGGATCCAAGTGAACCCGGATTTCGTCGTCGCCTTGAAATTCAAAAGGTACCGACTCTCTCGCTGAGCCGCTCTCCGCGACGGGGCGTGAATGTCGCACCTAGAAATGACCTACCCCTTCCCAGGGCCTCCGGTTTCGTGTGCGCCAGAGCTGACAGGCCCGGCGTCGGGCTGCCAGATGTCACCTGTGGAAGGATGTTGTCTTGTTGGGAGCGTCTTGCTCATGCTGGGGCTCACGTGATGAGGCCGCAGGTGGCGCTCAATACTTTCTGCACACGCCGCCTTCACCCTGAGGCGGCCAGTAAAGAAGCCATATGCTTCCTGTGACTTCTCGTCCTCGGGTCGCGCCCCTCTGGACACGTGATGGGGATCCGTGTCCCACTACATCTCCTCTGGCGTCCCCAAGGTGGCTCTGTGGTCAGTAAGGTAGTCATGACTTGTCGGAGCTTCGAAAACGAAGGCTTCCCCAAATTTGGTTGCCGCAGAGTCTGAATTAGAGACATTTGTCTCTAAACAAATTGGCTAAAACTCCTGTTTGCTAAACCAGATGAGGAAAGTGCAAATATGATGATTCTTTTATCAAATAAATTCTCTAGAACTATCACGTTATTAATATCTGGTATATGATAATTGCTTTTTTTAAAAATCCCAAAGTCTTTTCCAACTTTATATTCTGGTTTTCGAACTACGACAAGTGGTGTTTTAAAAGACGAGTGGTCTGTCGACCGCCCAGGACAAGGCGGAGTCCGTACATTGACGCGCCTGCCCGCGGCACGCGTCCCCTTCCCCCGAGATGTTTGTGCGACGCCCCAGGCCTGGCTGTGATGCCTCCTCTCACTGATGAGATCCCAGTCAGTGTGATTTTCAACCCCTGTGATTCTGAATTTCAAGTAGTCTGACAAGCCTTCACGTCCTGAATTTGCTCAAACGGCTCTACATTTACCAAATGCTAAAAACTTTGTTATGCCGCTCAGCCATTACGGAAACCAGCGGGCTGCCGGCTATATCTTTAGGCGCCTTTGTGGTTTCGTTCACGCTAGATTCTAGCAACACTTCCGGTGAAATGCCAGGAGCCTCTGGTGCCAAGAGGTCCAAGGAGCACGGACACCGAGCAGCCCTCCAGAGGACAGGGAGCCTGTCGGTGGGGAATGCCCGCCCTCCGCTGTGTCACGGGCGCTGAGTATCAAGATTCCCAAAGTACAGATCAGTTTGTAACATAGACCAGCGGTCCCCAACCTTTGTGGCACCAGGGACAGGTGCTTCTATGAGACCCTAACACCTGGTGGCCTGAGGCGGAGCCGAGGCGGTGGTGCCGGCGCTGGGGGCGGCTGCAGGTGCAGATGGAGCTTCGCTTGCCCGCCCGCCGCTCACCTCCCGCTGTGCGGCCCAGGTCCTGACAGGCCACAGAGGGTACCGGTCCACAGCCCCGGGGATGGGGACCCCAATATAGAAGGCAGTTTATACAAATACTTCTCCTCTTCACTTTACACACGCTTCTGCAAGAAGCTGAAACTAGAAAATCTCTAAGTCTTCATCCAACTCTTAGATTTTCTGAATCGTTAGCTGACCCAATGTCACAGAAAAGTCACAGACCTGTGACTTCGTCTGAGATACGACATCTGAGTGTGCTGGGAGGTTATCTGGGGGCTCTGCAGGCAGACGCACTTAGGAGGAGGAGGAAGCCACAAGTCCTGGGCAGGGCAGGTTCAACTCCCCAACCCAGCGAGACTGAGTCAGGTGGCGTTTGAGGGGCAGAGTGGGGGGTCGCGGGGTGGGTCACTAGCAGTAAAGATGGAGCATGGCTGGCCTGGAGCGCTTTGAGCTCCCTGACTCGCCTGCTACTCAGGCCTCGGGGGGCAGGGGAGTGCTTCATCACTCGGCCTCTGCTCAGCGGGGCCAGTGACACTCACACGCTGGAACTCAGACGAAGCGTGGTTAGAAGCTGGGCCAGACGCCGGCCTCTCACGGGCTCACAGGTCTGTGCAGACAGCGTTCGCAGGATTAGGCCCGTTCCGCAGATGGAACCATCAGCAATGCCCAGTTTCACTCCAGGCTCCAATGCGTGGATGACAGTCCCTCCAACAGGACAGAACAGTTAGAACATGTTTGTTTGTTTCCAGGGCCTCGCTGTAGGTCCAGTGTCCAAAAATGACCTATAACGGTCAGCTGTGTCACTTACTAGGGCACAGCGTCATCGGGCTCTAGTGACGCCCCTGCAAAGCCTGCCAAGTGCAACGGCAGCTCCGACGGATCCCGGGGGTCACAGTTCCCGGTGGCCGCTCCGTGCTAAGCCAGTCCCATGAGTCCACGCTCGGGGAGCCTGACGGACGGACAGACCAGGGCCCCCCAGCCTCCCCCAGGGCATGCGCGTTCCCTGCTTTCCGCCCTCCCAGACCACCTTCGGGGAGCCTGTCGGACGGACAGACCAGGGCCCCCCAGCCCCCCCCAGGGCGTGTGCGTTCCCTGCTTCCCGCACCCTGGTTCTTCTACACTTTTCATTAACCACGGTCAACTGAGGCGCGAAAATATTCAATGGAAAATTCCAGAACTAAACAGTTCATAAGTTTAAAATTGCCTGTCTGAGTGCTGGGATGCAGTCTCTCGCACCGACCCTTTCCGTCCTGCCCCGGCTGTGACGGGTCCCTCTGTCCAGGGTCTCCAGGCCGCAGGTGCTCCCTGCCCGTTAGTCTCTCCGCAGCCGTCTGGGTGCCCAGGGACCAGACTTGGCCAGCGAGGGACTGCGCCCCGTAGCTTTAACCGCGGCGCAGAGTTGAAGGTGTTCTGTTTTCTTACTCCTGAATGCTGGGCGTGTGCAGACAGCAAACAGCGGTATCTGTAGGGTTCGGGCCAGTCCTGGCGTCGGGCGCCCACTGGGGTCTCGAAAGCCGTGCTCGTGATTACAAAACCCCAACTTTCCACCCTGTCGCCCACGTCCACTGCCGGCCAAAACGAGCGTGGTAGTCGCTACGTGAGATCACAATAGCGTCTGTCACCGTTGACGTTTTTTGTTTATTGCCATGTTGACAAGCTGTCACTCTAGCTGCCTTTTGGATGGTCCTGATTATAAAAAAACGCACAAAAGCACACGCGGTCGCTGTGCGCCCCGAGCCGCGAGACCTGACGGCCGTGTGCTTGTCCTCAGCTTCAACATGGAGCCCAGCTACGACTTCCTGCACGTGTACGAGGGCGACAGCTCCAACAGCCCGCTCATCGGCAGCTTCCAGGGCGCCCAGGCCCCGGACAGGATCGAGAGCAGCGGGAACAGCCTCTTTCTGGCGTTTCGGAGCGACGCCTCCGTGGGCTTGTCCGGCTTCGCCATCGAGTTTAAAGGTACCGTGACCAGCATCGTGCGAGTGTGAATGAATCCGTGCCAGGGTCGTCCAAGCTGTGAGTGTGTCTCCCTGGCCTCGTGCCCGTCCGTCTAACCCGTAAATGCTGACATCGCCTGCATCGGGCGGGGAGGGAGGGCGGTCTCCCCAGTGGAGAAGGTTCCAGACACGTCTCCACCTTGGCCAAAAGAAAAATGTAAGAGAGGAAGTGTTTGATCAAATTCGTGACCGTTCAAAAATAAACTGTGGTTTGTGCAATGAAGCATCTGATGATATGTAAGAAGGCTTTTGAGGTGTGTTTTAGTACGTTCGAAGTTGTTTCTTCAGGATGACCAGAGTTAAGTACCTGGAAACGGCTTAGTGTAACTTCAGTATCTTTCAGTGTGAAACGTCCACTTCCCTCCCTGTCTCCCGCCCACCCCAACCCCATTGGGCATCGTTGGGACAAGAAGCTCGGCCAGGTCACAGCTTTCTCCTTCGGTCACCAGACAGGTGCCTCCCACTCCATTTGGGACCCACCAACCTCTGTCACCAACGGCCAGAGAAAGCAAGCAGACACACCCAAACGAAAAGTCCTTAACTGAGCACTTTGCTCTTAGGTCCATGAGAAAAAACGTGTTTTTTTTCCAAATCCATGTCTTCACCGAAAAGAGAAAATACAGAAGAATTTACAAAGAACCAGAGAAAAGGACTTAAGAACCCCAATCACAGTAGTGAGTGCTTTATAAAAATGTATTTAAACTTATTAGTTATTAGACTTGTAAAATAAATATAGATTTCATCTCTGTTAACGCTTCCAAAGATTTGCATTTCTTTATATGGGTTTAAGCAGAAAAATAATCTGTTTCCCCTAAAACAGCAAAATCTACCAACTTATTGATCTTTACGAAAATGTACGATATAAAATGTAGACGATTCAGCGGTCAGAGGGGTCCCCGTGCCTTTGGATGGCGTCTGTTAGGTTCGTGGCTAATTAGCAGGGCAGTTTTTAGGGTTCGCTGTGTCATGACAGCTTCTGTACTAAGGAGAACTCGCCGAAGTGCATTTCCCGTGGCAACGCCCACTCTGCGATGAGTAAACAAAGCAAGCAAGAAAGGACACAGTACAGGCGTGTGCACAGGTCATCACCGGCCCGGCCACCTGCCTCCCCGGGGCCTCTACAGCCCACGGCCCCACGGACGGGCGGGCGGTGAGTAACGGTGCAGCTGCCTCTCTGGGGGAGGAGGAAGGAGCGGCCTCTTCTGTTGGCGTCTGGCGACCAGAGAGCCACCTGACTGTGGGCCGCAGCTCTTGGCATTTGAAATGCTGCCCGCGGAAGTGCGGTGAGTGGCCGGTCCAGGACCCCACGGTCGGGGCAGACGCGGGCCAGCTCCTTGGCACGGCTCCCCGTGGAAGGAGCAGTGGGCTCTCTTGCTGAGTGACAGGCTCAGGACTTGGCGGCCAGTCCACGGGGCCCCAGCGAGGGACACTCGGAGGTGTCCATAAGCGAAAGGGATCTGGGCAGCAGCAAAGCTCACCATGCTATGAAGTCCTCTGATTGGCCAGTATGACAGACGGTAAGCAGAGATGCGCCGTGAGGGGTCACAGACATCCTGAACTGACAGCTGGGTAAATGGCACTAAAAGATTAGATGCGGTTTATCTGGAGGAATTTAAAAAAACTTACCATCGGAAGATGGTGGAGGTGGCATTTAACCGAACGGAAAACCACACAAAGGACGTTGATAACAAGACGTGATCCAAAAGGCGGACAGGGCCACTGGCCGGCACTGTAGACGCACACGGAGACATGTTCGCTTTCCGACCAGAGAAGAACTCGTCCCCGGGACGAGCGCCCGCGCTGCCCTGCGCTCAGGCCCTGCGGGTGACGGGAGGCCGCCGCGCGTGGACAGCCGTCTCGGTGCCCGCGAACAAACGATCATGTGCGTTTGCTCCTTTTAGGCCTAGAATAAATGCTTCGTGTTCTACGTGGCCTTTTAGGCCGCTACGAAGAATTAGCAAAGTGTCACGTACCCTTTGAAATGACCAGCAAGGTTTTCGGTAGAGTGACTGGGAGCTCCGGTCCCGGGGCAGCACATGGTCCTTGCTGAGCCCCTCACAGCGGCCGCGTTAGTGGCCACGAAGGTTTGACATGATCTCACGCGGACGTATCACTGTACGTCTGTAGTAGAGAAACAACATTCTATATGAAAATGTGTATAATTATATATACAAACGTTTCTATAAGAAATATATAGTATAAATATGCATTTACATATATACATTTGCATGTAATTATATGCACTGGTTAAAAGGGAACATATATCAATATACAACGTGTGATAGTCATTTATATGTGTAGCATTGTAACCAAAGTACATAAACGAAATAGCAGAGTAGATCATGATAATAGATCAAGCCAGCGCTTGCTGGGCAGGTCCGCTTGGCTGCCGTGGACGCATGGGTCCCCACTGTGGGGGACACAGACGGGGACGGCGGGGCTGGCCTCGCTGTCTCCTGCAGGACCCCCCAGAGGCCGTGCCCTTGAGCATCGCCAGGGGTGGCGGGCGAGGGGATTTCAGAGCCCGCAGTTCCCGGGATGGCCCAGGTGGCGGCACCCAGCGGGAGGCGGGGAGGCAGGAAGGAGCAGCTCAGACAGTGAACACCATCAACGGCATCACAACCCAAAATCAAATCACTCGGCCTCCCGCTCACACTCTCCCGAGACGCTGCCACGCGTGAGGAACTCCGTCCTCTGCGGCCGGCGAGGGCGCGGAGGGCACAGACCCTCGGCAGGTGCGGCGGCCGGCACGGACGAAAGAGCCGGAACATTCGCTTTACCTACTCGAGTCACCCTGCAGCCTATACCAGAATCGGAGAGCAACTCGCACACTCGAATGCACGCGCGCGTGCACCGAATAGCAGTTTCCTAACTTTACGCTGAAAAACGAAGACGATGTTTCAGGCGACCCCTCTGGTGACCACGCGACGGTCAGCAGGACTCAGCTTCGGGGCTCCTGTCACCGCCGGGAGCTGCTGACGGCGCAGGGAATGTCGAGACGCGTAAACGGAGCGCAGAGGCATGTGCAAACGTCTTTGTCATTTACACACGTCTTGGGAAGTCCGTCGAAAACAGGACGTTTAAAATGCCGAGTCTGTCCAAAGAGAACTGGAATTAGCTACACGGCAACAAGGCCCTGAGAGGAAACTAAAGACAATTGTAAGCTTACGTTTGGGAGCGGACGAGGCTTCGGCGGATGCCTTAGCTCCTGGCCCCGCAGCTGGGCAGGTCGCTGGGTCTTCTCCGAAAGTGATGTAACTTTTCTTCAGGCTCCACATTTAAAACGGGCCCGGCACAGTGCTCGCCCTGCAGAGCGGCGTGAGCAGCGCGGGACACACAGTGTGCCTGCTCGGGGCCTGGCGCATAGTAGGCCCTCGCTCCGTGGAGCAGCCGACACGATGGAGATGGAATGGGGCGGCCAGCGCATGGCAGACGCAGCGCTGGGCCCTGCGGGTCGCGGCTCCGTCTCCACTGAGGCCGACGTGCGCTCTGGCCAGTGAGGGTGGCGCTGGCCGGAGCCCCGTGCACATGTGCCTTCCGTCCCCTGTCCCCACGGGCTTGAGAACGCCCTGGGCTGGCGCAGCTGAGACTGACCCCTCCCTGAACGTGAGCCCGCGTCTCTGGGACCAACATGCAAGTCAGAGATGAAGCTCGGTTTGTCCATAAGCAGCTTCTCTGGTTTGGTACTAAAATCCACAAAGAAAACGTAAGTGTATAAAATAATGCTGCTGTTTTTTTTACCAAGATGAAAGCAATTCAGTAGCAATTCTGCAGTAAAATGTGGTTTGAAAAATGAGGAATATAATTTTATTGAGTTTTTGTTCTATTTTTCTATGACATTGATTAATTGGGTAATTATTAACTTGACCATCATTTCTAGTGTATGTAATTATTAGCTTGGTAATTAGCAACTTGGTCATTAGTCAATCAATAAATATTTTTTGAGAATTTCTCATGATTGGGCCTTGTTCTAGGCATTAAAAAAGTTAAGCGTCCAACCAACCGACCCAACAAACAAAAAATCGAGACCTTGCCCTCACGAAAGTTGATTCATTCCTTCTGCAGAGAAGCCACGGGAAGCATGTTTCGACCCTGGGAATGTGATGAACGGGACGAGGGTTGGGGTCGACTTCAAGCTCGGCTCCACGGTCACCTACCAGTGCGACTCCGGGTACGAGGCCGAGGACCCCGCGTCCATCACGTGTGTCATCGGAGCGGATGGGAAGCCAGCCTGGGACCGCGCCCTGCCCTCCTGCCACGGTGCGTGTGGGAGCCGCTTCCTCCCTCGGGAACAATCCCCCTGGGCGACAGCCCCTCGGTGACGACCCCTCGGTGACGACCCCTCGGCGACGACCCCCTTGTCCTGGGCGACAACCCCTCGGTGATGACCCCTCGGTGACGACCCCCTCAGCGACGACCCCCTCGGTGACGACCCCCTCGGTGACGACCCCTCGGCGACGACCCCCTTGGTGACGACCCCCTCGGAGTGCCAGCTCACGTTTCAGAGCGGCTTCATGCCGTGGTGCTGAGCCCTCCGGTCAGTGTGGGATCGCTTGTGGGCCGTGGTGGCACCAGGCCAGGCGTCCCCCCTCCATGGGATTAGTGAGGGTCCCAACCGTCCTCAGGGGCTGCACCCGCTTTCCTCCAGCTTAGGCAGCCGGGCGTCCCAGGCCTCGGCGCCGCAGGTGGAGCTGACTGACAGCCGTGGGTGCTCCCGCCCCGCCCCCTGGGTGCCTTTGCCCCCCGTGTGTGTGTGTGTGCACATATATAATGTGTACATACGTCACATGTGCACGCATGTAACATACTAAAACGAATGTCTTTTCTCCCACGTACCAGTACTTGGTGATCCCTTAGGTAGGTATTAAATTAATGAAATCACCTATTAAAAGGGGAGGTGGAGCTTCGAGAACTGACAGACGGACCCGTGTGACGAGCGCCAGCCACAGGTGCCTGGTGGGGGCCCTCCCGGGAGGGGCAGAAGGCACGTTGCTGGGTCCACGGCCAGTCAGGTCGGCGGTGCCATGGGCGTCTCCACAGACAGAACTCCAGCCGAGGACACACCCTGGACCTGTCCCCGTTACTCTGGGCGTGATGCACACCTTAAAAAGGAGACGTAACGCCCCGTAGGCTGTGGCAGAAAAGCTGATCCCGAGGCTGTCTCAGGGTGAGCCCAAGGGCAGGTGTAGCTAGAGACGCTGAACTTACAGGACAAACGCGTTTTCCCTCGGGCCAGCTCACGATGGCACCGGTACCTTCTGACCAGACGCGTGCTCTAAACATCAGTGCACGAGAATCAAAACGGCCTTGCACACTAACGCCCGGGCCGGCTGCGCGCCTTCTGAGCTTCTCCGATGACCCCCAGGGCCATCGTTTTGTCCTCCAGTAATGAGACCGGGAAGTCAGCGTTGGGGCCTCTCAGCTTCCGAAGCCGTGTGCGAGCTAGGAGCGCTGGCCGCCGTGGGCCCTCGGTGCAGGCGACCGAGCTGTCGGCCAGGTCACAGCCGGCAGCAGATTCGGCTTTGCTGACACGTGGCCTTAACCCGGAGGTCGCATCATCCAGAGGACGGGGGAGGCCGGTGCGTGTCGCTGCCGGCCCCCCTTCCCCTCCCGCGTGTCACCCGGGACAGGTGGCCGTGTGCCCACGTGCCCTGCTTCCGCCTGGCGGAACATCCGCTGAGAGACAGTCCTGCCCGGGTCAGCCATCACCACCCCATCCCCCCGGAGGTGGCCTCTGCCCGCGTCTGCCACGTAGTTATCGTGCCGGACCCATAGACACGTGGACATAAAGGACGTACCTAAAAACGCACACGCGTTAGGAGTCATAGAAAGTTAATATAAATCATATCTTACAGTGACTCTATCCTGGCAAATCTTTCTTTTTCTTTTGCTTTTGCTGGCAACGTAAAATAGTCTTTTAACTTGGATGTTTTGTCAAGTTTCCGGGTAAACCTGCACTCAGGTTCCGTCACCGTCCCACCTGCCACGTGCAGCGTGGCCGTTTGTCCCTTAGTGTCCCTTAGCACGTAACTGTGGTGGGTTTCCCTTTCAGCTCCCTGCGGAGGCCAGTACACGGGATCGGAAGGGGTGGTGCTGTCCCCAAACTACCCTCACAACTACACAGCCGGTCAGACATGCCTCTATTCCGTGACGGTGCCCAAGGAATTCGGTGAGAATGTCTTTCCATTTTTAATGATTGTCGTAATCTTTCTGTTGTTAAATTTTTTCTGCCATTTTACAAACAAATATCCCAGCTTTTGATGTCATAAAATAATGCGAAGGAAGTTGGGTTGCATCCCAGGGGCGGGTGGTCCAGCCACACCTGGCACGGTGGTCACTAGCGGGGCGTGCGGCCACACCTGGCACGGTGGTCACCACCACTCCCTC